TCCCAGCCTGCCCTGCTCACAGGCTGATGGGTCCGTTACTGCGCTCAGCTTCCAGGTCCCTGGCTCTTAGGAAGCAGCTGGGCATTGCGGAGCCCAGCTCGGATCTCCCTGCCTCTCCAGGTATGCCCTTCCCTTCCCACCCCCAGCTTGGCAGCACCGTGCCAACCCATGGCTCTCAGGGAGCCCCTGCACCCTCGGAGTGGGAACCTGCCCTGAGCTGCTCAGAGCCTCTGCACACACAAAGCAGGAGGACGCACTGAAAGTGTGAGTAGGACTCAAAATTGTGGGCTGTTTAATGTGTTCAAAAGCTGTACAGAGAGCATGGGGGGCAGCACGCTGCCCTAGGCCCTGCTCTGCTATTGCATCTACAAAAATACAAAGCCTGGCCAGCAGATAATCTGAGTGAAGAGGAAGCAGCTGAGGCCAAAGGCCCCGCACCCAGGGCTGTGGCGGGGAGCCAGCCCCTCCTCAGCAGTGTCGGCACCGAGCAGAGGTTGTGGCAGGGGAAATGGTGACGGGGACTTGCATAGGGGAACTGATGTAATCTGCTCCCCACGTGGGGGAAGTGTCAGCCCAGAGGTTACCCAGCACCATGCTGCAACATCTGCGCTGTTGGGACCCAGCTCTGCAGAAGGAAAGAGGGGCCCTTAGTGCTTTTATTGCCTTTCCTGCTGGATGCTGAGCACCCTCTGCCCTTTTCCAGGAGAAGGAGCCCGCAGAGCACATCACAGTGCGAGTGGGGCAAGGGAGGAACATGGTGCACGTGTGTGTGCTGCCTCACACCGGGGCACCAGCAGTCAAACCCGTTCAGCTGCTGCCAGCTCCCAGACAGTGCCACAAACGCCTGTGCCCCTGCAAACCCAGCTCTGAAGCAGGCACTGGTGGGGGTGAGCCCCCTGCCCGCTCCAGGTGAGCAGCTGCTGCCAGGGTCACAAATGCAGCAGAGGCTGGAAATGGCTCCGACTGCTCCAGGTGCCTCCGCTCGGGCTGGAGGAGCTGGCGCCTGGGGTATTCACACACTCACGCAGCTGCTGGGGGTAGTGGCATGTAGAAGGGCTAACAGCTTAATGGCGGGTGGCGTGCCCGGGGCGATACCTGCCCCAGGGGAGGGGGGAGCAGGGCAGACTGGGTGCTCAGGGGTCCCCGCTGTACTTGATGAGGTGGCCACTGAAGGTGATGTAAGTGTCATACTCATCGCTGAAGACAGCGTTCTCACGCTCGCCCTTGTAGAGCCGCACCCAGACCTCATCCTGCTCCTGCAGCTCCAGCATGACGCTCTGGCTCTGCATGATGCTGCGGTCGCTCACCTGGGCGTAGAGGATCACCACCTCCACCCCGTTGCGCATGATGTGCAGGTACGTCTCCTTCTGGTTCCAGGTGTGCACGTTGAGGCTGAAGTAGTAGATCCCGGGGACGTAGCAGTAAAACTTGCCCGTGAACATGTTGAAGTGGTCATAGAGGTTGACAAACTCCGTGTCGAAGATGAGGGTCTGGTAGTAGTCATTGCTGTGCAGGGGTTTCTTGCGGCCCACCGAGAAGGCGGCGTAGTGGGTCTTGCAGCGCTCCCCTGGGGCGCCCACGCTGCCCTTCTGTCCCTTGGGGCCCGTGTGGCCCCTGCTGCCGGCCACCCCCGTCTTGCCAAACTTGCCCTGCATGCCTCGCTCGCCACGGTCCCCCTTCTCTCCTGAGTGAAGCAAGAGGGAGAGTTGTACTGTCAGTTGTACCGCCTGCGCAGGGCGTTGGACCACAGCTACCAGCCCCGGCTTCTTGCTCCCAGTT